CTCCCCAGCAGCCTGGGGCTCCAGACCCCTCCCCAGCTCCGCTGCCCTTCTCTGGACACCCTCCAGCCCCCCCAGGTCCTTCGGGGAGGGAGGGGCCCAACCCTGACCCCAGCATTCAAGGGGCGGCCCCCCCAGTGCCCAGCACAGGGGCACGGTCCCTGCCCTGCTCCTGCTGGCCACACCACTCCTGGTACAAGCCAGGTTGTCATTTTACGTATTCCCAACTCTAAACGCAGCCAAAAGAAACCAAGCAGATTAAATTCTCTAATCTTTAATTGGTGCCTACTCCATCCCATCCCAAGCAGAAATATTGTGGCTCCCAGTCTGAGGTGCTGGGGGCAAAATGCAGCCAGCCTGGCCCTAGCCTTGTAAGCAGCTAGGGTCCTCTTAGCAGAAATACTTCGGCATATTAAAAAGCAAAACCATTTTAAAACCCAGTGCTCTGTCAGCACAGGACCATGTGCTCAGTATCTATTGCCGGTAGCACCTTCACCCCTGGGGGACCCAGCTCCCCGGAGCATCTCAAACCCTGCTGCAAAGTCGGGTTTCAAGTCCCTGCAGGGTGCTGCTATTTTTTTTATTTTTTCTCTTTTTTAAAAGGCAAGAAAATAGCATAGCTGTTAATTCAAAGAGATCTGCATGTCCATAGCTCTTGGTACCAGAGCTGACCTGGATTCAAAGCCAGCTCCTGCCCCGAGCACCAGCCCAGCCTGAGAGCAAGGTGCAGGCAAAGCTCAATTGCCCCATTTCCCTTCAGTCTTTGGCCTCCAAACTCCACGACACCTTTTCCATAAGGAAAATCCTACTGGTTCCAGTTCAGCATCCATCCCAGCAGGGCTCGAAGCAGCCTCGGGCTGTTTATATTGGCAGGCAAGCGGCTGCAACCCTCAATGAGCCTTCAAATCTGCCTTTCCTGCTCTTCCCTCGACTACAGCCAACGTCAGAAATAGTTGCAGGGCAGCATCACACCGTGAGGGAAAATCTCTGCTCTTGGAAAGAAACCTGGCTCTAACCATCCTGCCATAAATCCGTATGGGCAGGAACCCTCGGATCTTTTATCTTACGTGTCCTTTCCTGAAAGAAAATTACATTCGTAAAGTTGACGACCGGTCCCCACGTTCCTCGCAGAGAAGTTGTGAAGATGCAGTTTGCTGCATGGAAGGATTTATTTGGCTGCTTTGTGGGAGGGATGGGAGTGGCGTTACCTGGGGCTGCCAGGCTGCTGACAGCCCCCTGCCCACCCCCGTGGGGGGCATCAGGAGATGGTGCAGGGCAGCCGTGGGCATTGGGAGATGGTGCGGGGCAGCTGCAGGGCTGGGCTTCCCAGTGGGACACGGGAATGTGCCTTGGACCATGGCAGGACGCTTGGGGCTGCCAGCAGTGCCATGGGATGGGGGTATACGGTACCATCACATCCCATGGGAAAGGGGACAGATCCCCCACCCCCTTGCCCAATTTCTGCCTTTTACACCACCAAATGCCATCATTTTGCTGAGCATCCCCACACTTGCACAACGGAGAACCGAAAGCCACCAGGCGCATTTCTTGCGGACCCCGGGTTGCTCCAGAGGTTCACACCAGCCCCCTGGGTGCCGGCTGTGCCCCCCGCTCCCGTCCCTTCCCTCAAGCCATGCTCTACTTGGAGCCTTCCTAATAATATCCCCCACACTCTCCAAAATCAAGCGCTTGTTCATCCTGTCCTTACTCATCCTGCCCTGGGAGGCGGACGGTGCTGATGCAGAAGCTGCCCTGGACCTTACCTGCTGGGTGTACGTGGCTGGTGTGGGCTCGGCGCTGAGCGCGGGCTCGGGACGTTGCCTGGGCTGGGTGTCTCGCTGCTTCTCGGTGTGGCTGGAGTATGAGAAATGAGGGAGCGGGGGGAGCCCACGGATGTTTGGGCCATCACCTGACTGCCATCGTAGGTGCTGACAAGTGCCTGGTATGTCCAGCTGACAGCTGAGCTTTAAAGGGGGGAGAGGCACCCTTGGGTGTTAAAGGAAAACAAAGCCATGTGTGCGAGAGGGCTACGGATGGAGGGGAAGGGGCCGGCTGCATGCAAGGCTTTCCAGAAAGCGTGGCCACGCTCCGGCTCCCTGGCGTCTCTCCAGGAAAACAACTATTGCTTTTTTCCGGTCTGCTTTCCCCCATACCACCTGTACCAGCCTCCCCAGCTCGGCCCCTCCGGTGTTGGTCACCTCCCCCCGGGAGCGGGCTGGGTGCCCCGCTGCTCCCCAGCAGGGAGGGGGCAGGAGGCTGGCGGTGGGAGCGGGACAGACGCCAGGCTCCCAGCAAAGAAACCCACCGGCTCCTTGCTCCCCACCTGGGGGAAAACACGCCAGGGCGATGCAGGGGAGGACAGGGCAGGGGGGCTGTAGTTGCTGGAGGAGCTGGGATGCTGCGGGACAGCCCCGAACCGCTGAGCTAAAGGGGTTTGGCAAAGAAAAGGTGTTTGTGGCAAGGGGTCAAGGCACGGGGCAAGAGCGGGGTTTGCCCAAAGCTGTGCAGCAGGTGAGCAGAGCAGGGAGCGCAGCCCGCAGCCGCCCAGCCCTGACCCTGCCAACAGCCTCGTGCAGGGAAAAACAACACCCCGGCACTTTGGGACTGGTTGGGGAATGGAAAAGTCCCAGGGAGCTTCCTGCCAGGGCCAAATTGTCTCCTCCAGCAAGTCAAGGACAGCGTGTGCCCCCCCGGTCCCCTCCAGCACATGCCGAGGGCAGGCACGCTCTGGACATGCTGTGCCAGCCCCACGCATCCCAAGAGGACAGGACCCATATATTATTTAGGAGATCACACAGCACACCCAGGGGGTGGTACCCGCTCTCATCCCCCAGCCCTGGGGGACCCGGAGCAGACCCCACCAATAACTCGAGGACGCAAGCAAATGAGCGCGCGCAACCGGGGCCCCGCAGGCTGCGAGGGGGAAGGCGCTGGGAGGGCTTTGCAGCAAAACGGCAGGAGATTGGGAAGAAAATCTTGCTGTTGAGATAACAGTTGATGGATGTGGTAATTCTCGCTAACTGGAGGGGAGAAAACAGGCTCCCGAAGACCAGAGGGATCGAACGGATGGTCAGGGGCAGAGGCCGAGATTAAAGACAAGGATGAAACAAAGACCCCGATTCCCAAGCCCGATTTCGCTCTGCTTTATGCTGGTATTTTAGCTCAGGAAAGTGCTTTTTTTCTTTTTTTTTTCTTTTTTTTTTTTTTTTTTAAGCTTGGTTTCTGAAGGATAAAAAGCTGGCCTGGGCACCCTGCAAGGACGGCCGTGGTGCATCCCCTGCCAACAACTTCTGCACCCGTCGGCCAATCTCGGCAAAGTGCAATAGAGGCATCAAAAATTCAGGGTGTAAACTCCCCTAAGGTACCGCTCTGCTTTCCAGCGGTGGGGTCAAACATCCCCTGGCCACAATTCGGCTCTGCTCAGCATCACCTGCACCACAACGGCACCGGAGCAGCCAGAGGCCAGGGGAGAGGAGAGGTTGGGAGTAAAACATGCAAGGCTGGGGGAGGCTGAGTGACCTTTCCAGATAGGGAAGTACTGGGCGACCTTTCCAGCCAGGGTACCTTGCTGGGCCATGTGAATGAGCTCCCATCCTCCCCTTCCCTGCTGCATCCCCCTGGCCACAACATCATCCCTGATCGCATCCCCTTGGCTGAACGGCGGAGCTATAGGTGATCATTAAACATTGCTGCCGTGGGGTTGTGGAGAACCCGCGCTCCGTAACGTAATGCCAGGGAGAGATGGGGGGGCTTGGTGGGTTTAGGTGCCGTTAAAGGGATGCGAGGAAGGGCCAGCCCAGACCTGGGGATGCAGTCAGGGCTGCGGATGCCAGTGCAGACCTGGACCCAGCTGCTGCCTTCACCATCCCACCCGGGCTATGGTCCCTGCTGGACTTACCTAGGCAGGGCTTAGCACCAAAACCACTGGCTCTCCTGAGACAGGGGGCACAGCCCAGGGCTGTCACACCTCTTGCCCTGCAGCAAGCCGGGGGGATCGCTGCAGGCGCCGGCTCTGTGTGTGTCTGGAAAGGGCTCAGCATTGCAGGATGGGGTGCCCATGGGCTGCAGCTCAGCATCACGGACCATCCCAGCAGCAGGAACATGCTGGTTCCCAGCATCTGCTTCTCCTGTCTCCCAGGTTGGGCTGGTCCTGGCATTTCTTCCTCCTTTTCCTCTCCCCTTTGCCAGGACAGACGTGCAGGGCAGATCTCCAAGCCGGCTCCCCCTCGCCGTGCCCACCCCAAGGGTGCCATGGGCAGGCAGCGAGTCCCGACATCCCTTATCCTCACCTTCACGCGCTACGGCGCATCGCCCCAAAAGCCCCTGAAAAGAGAAGCCAAGCCAGCGTGCAATCCCCAAACATGTCAGGCTTTCAGTCTAATCATTACTGAGGTGGTAGGAGGGGGCTTTAGACCATACTGGGGGGGTCCCTTGGGTTCAGTCAGAGGCAGGACTGAGCACCCAGGTTTGCCCCACGGCCCCAGGGAACTCGCACGAGTGGCCGGCTGCTGCAGCACGTCACCGACACGCACCTTCCCCCTTCGCAGAAGCCCATCCTGCTGGATAGCGTATGTATTTTTAATGCATGTGTTAATTGAAGCAATCTCATTTTTATGTCAGGCGTATTGCCGGGCCAGCAGACATGTCCTTTGCGGTTATCGCTCCATTAAAACAAGCGCACGGAGGACGCCCGAGCCGGAGCCGGGAGGAGC